TGAAGGATTGAAATTAAGTTCATATATATATATATATATATATATATATATATATATATATATATATATATATTTTCGTTTCATTTCGTTGTTGGAAGTGTTACCTGATGATCCGGCGTCCCTTTTCAAAGGACTCCTGTGAAATAAATTATTGTAATGATACCTTAAATTGGTCTGTTTTTCTTTCAAATATATATATATATATATATATATATATATTATTCTAGCATAATTTTCCAACTTAATTCAAGATGATCTTCGTCCTGTCTAAGCTTCTAACTTTCTCACCTGGACTAGAAAGGTGCCTCATACGTTTCACGTGCGATTTCATTCTCAAGGCTTTTTCACTGCTTTTTGGACTGTCATAGCTGAAACTCCTCTTTCACATGCCAAACGTCTTATGGATTGTGTTGAATCTTTTCTAATTGATTTCTTTATCTCTAAGTTGAAATGATGATCCCTCTTGCTGTTGTGACCTCCTGATCCAATTTTCCTCTCTACCGTTCCGGCTTTTTTAAAAACTTATTCACCATTCTCTTGATGGTTCTTGGCTGGGCTTTGAAGATGGAAGCCGGAGTATGAATGTTGGTACCATTACTGAAGCCCTGAATGATCTTTTTCTTTTCAATATTGTTCATTTGTCTGACACAAAACAATTTTAAACTTCGCTCTTTTTAGCTAAATAACTCAAAGTGTTCTTTAGTGATTCTTACGAAAATGTTATCAAAATGGTTAAACGTCTTATCGGAAAACTTGGAAAAAAGAATCTCAATTAGTTTAGTGGTTCTTTAGATATCAAACATATTGTGGTATGGATAATTAAGCTATTACACGATTTGGACAATTTTACTGTTCCACCCGATATATATATATATATATATATATATATATATATATATATATATATATATAGAGAGAGAGAGAGAGAGGGGGGGAGAGAGAGAGAAAGAGAGTGTGTGTTTGTGTGTATGTGCGTGTGTATGTATGTATGCATCAGGCATTCAAGAACATCTTTAGAAAGCTCCGTGACCAATTTTGACAAAAAAACTTTTGTATGCCTCGCCATGGAAGATTTGATTCTAACGCAGGAGCTGAAAAGACATGCCGTTCTCGTTGCATGAGTGATTGAAGTCATTTTAAATGTTACCAGGACCTCCGTGGTTAAGATCAGCAAAGAATACCAGACAAGAATGCGTATTTAGTAACCCCACGCCCCCACACACGTACAAACACATGCACACATCAAAAAGTACATTCTCGATAGTCAGACATTGTCAGGAATGTCAAGATCATCCAACAATTCCAGCGTATCATCGATAAAAATCACAGAAAATCAATGAGGCCATTAACAATCAGCTTCACGTGTCAAAATCAATAATCATACTTGTCGTACACGAAGATATCAGATACGAATCCTATGTTAAGAAGAGAATACAGTCCATGCCCCATAGTACCCGGGAGAACCTTGTGATCCATTGTTAAACTCGAGAAAGTAGCTCGAGGAACTTAATGCGCGTAATACCAAAACCCAGGAATAGCTGACCGAGCAATTTCGCGATAAAGTTATCCGTAATATTTGGCCTGGTGGCTCTTCAAATCGAAACACTATGGACTGCTAAGTCCTTGGTTCTTTTTAGCCTTTTAAAAAATGTACACTTCCTCGTTCAATTATTATCAAAAGCCTCTATCTGATCAGTTTCCTCTCCGAAACGTAAACAAAACAATTTCTTATTTATATTACTTCGAACGTTATATTTAATGAGATTTTTGAGATTTCAAATAAATTCAGATCAATTCATAAATAACAAAAAAAGGAATCTGTGGAGTGTCATGAATGCCTCTCTCCTCCAACAAAAAGAAAACAATTGCTTTGCTTTGAAATATGCGGAAGCCACATATCAAATTGCCTAACATTGGCACAAATTGTTATCAGCACATGATTGCGATATGTTTAGTAAATTCGCCTTGACTTCTATTGTATATTAATTCATTTGAGAAATCGCGTTGGAAAAATATACGTCCTTCGATCATGTAGGACGTCCTGATCAAGAGCTCCCACGTGGCCGACCTGATCTAAGACACGTCGGATCTAATGACGATTTCCCCTAGAGGACGCTGGTTTGAATCCTGTCGGAGGATGCACATATCATAGAAATTGTCTGACAGCCAGGCCTGTGTTCTCCTGCTTGTATTGCATGGTGCAGAGTCCTGTTGCCAGACATAGGATCTTTCAGCTGTCACCCTCTTGTCCCAGAGTAGCCATCATTAGTGATCACTCCAAACACCTTCGTAATAACGATTAAACTCATTTCTGAATCCTCTGAACTGTCCTAGGGAATGTTCGTATTGGAGCTTCCTGTGCGAATGCCAAGCAGTACAGCGTGCCGTTTCCAAATTTTTGGCGGAGTGAATTGCGTTATGATGTACTTTTTCTCACAAACCGTGCCCAACTGACCATATTATAATGTGTAGGTGACACAAACAAAAACAGACAACGCGCATGCGCGAAATTAAAAATATAAAATGGCGACAATTTATCTATCGCCCCTATACGCATATAGACACATTTTTTTTTGTTCCGCCATCCATTTACTCAAGCTCAGTAAGTATAGTATGCGTCGTTTTCCTATGTTCATCTTCACGTCAATCTGTCCTGTGAGTATCAGATTTTCCAAGCCCTCTTTCCTTATTATGTGCCCTAAACATTTCAGTTTAGTCGTTGGTCATATATTCGGTCCGTGTTATCCTCCTCTCCCCTCCTGTAGAACCACATTTCAAGTTTCTTCTTCATCTATCAAAAGACAGTCCAGCATTCACTGCCATATAGGAGGAAAGATATCACATAACAATTCAGTATGCTTTTCTTTGTTCTTAACATTATTTTTCAGTTTCTTAATACTCTGCTTAGCTTTTGGCATACATTTTTCGCTATCCCAGTGTGCCTTCGGATTTCAATGTCACACTTTCCGCTCTCTGTTAAAACACTTGCCACTTTTGTACTTTAATTTTGGTATCTCCAATTTGTATCTGTCATTGTAATATTTTGTGTAGTAAAAACAGAATCTGTGCAAATTTGCAAATTCAGAAACATTTTTAAATTATATCTTCTGATTTTCAAGACAACAACGACATTTTCTGCATGTTTGTTCTTCCACATTCTATCGATTTCGGTTAGTTATTTCTGTTTAGCGGTATATCAACCTCTGTGGTTTATTTAATACAGGATGACCCCCAAAAACGGGAACTTTTTAACAATCCAATAAAACCAAGAGTGATGGAAGAAAAATATTTTATTCATAGTAATTGAAACCTTAAAACATGCCATTTAAGAAACAATTATGTAATTTTCATTTTTTTTTTAATTACGTCCTGTAGATGGCATCCTCCTGTACGAATGCATTCTTGAAATCTGCTGTTGAGATTCCTTATTGACTACTGCAACATCTGGGATACTGTGAATTTCATTTTGAATTCTAAATGGCGAAATGTTTACTTGCTCAAGGTCACTGTCTCGCAGTGTTGCCACTTGCTCATGTCTGGCAATATGCGCTTCAAAAATTCCCATTTTTGGGGTTCACCCTGTATCTTGTACCCAATTTTATGGCTTCAACTACAGATATTTTTGTACATATCCCATACTTTCAGGGAAAACGTATGTTTTTTAGATACATAGTTTGTAGATGATAAAATGTTGGTAATTTTACTTCTTTCTTTTTATGTGCCATGTCCTTTCAGGACGTAGGTGATCATGACTCTCCACCTTTCTCTCTATCCCTTGCAGCTCTCATCAAGTCCCTTCCCTCTGATTCCTCCCCCAGACCACGTCCTATCATCCACCTGCTCAAGTTCGTCAGGTATATCACGCGCTGCTTTCCCTTGTCTCTCTTTTCCTCTATTCGACCCGTGAGTATCAGATTCTCCATGCCCACCTTTCTCATTATGTGTCCCAGAAACTTCAGCTGTCTCTTTCTGATGTTAAGTATAAGCCTCCATCTTGTTCGTATCCTCTCTAAGACATCATCGTTGCTCACAGGCTCGGTCCATGATATCCTTAGCATTCTTCTGTAGAACCACATCTCCATCGCCTCGAGTCTCTTCTTCATTTTTGAGGAAATCTTCCAACATTCGAGGCCGTAATGAATATGAAATATATTTTTATACTTTAATGCTGTATTGATTGTTATTTTGCTTTAAAAACATATTACTACTACTCATATATTGCTGGTATTTTTGCCATAATACCATTTTGGTACTTCGTGAATCACCAAATAATAATCAAAACACTTACCCATAGCTGGGACCCTAACAGGTGCTACCAGCTCAGGTCAGATTGAATTTGGAAATAACGGCAATGAACACGCTCCTCAAAACCTCCAATCTCTTGATCTGATGCCTTGCTGCCGAATGTAGTTTATCGTCATACCCCGGGAATACTATCGAATTCGCGATTACTCTCCTCAATGACTACGAATAAAAGATAGAACTGCAAGTCATTAATCCCATGGTCCATCATTTAATCAACTGAGCAGAGCTGTAAAGCACACACTCATGAATATGCAAATATATGCAAATATGACAACTACTCACTACGCAATAGACTTACATAAACAATAATCAAGATAAGCGCGAAATGATAGGCAGAGGACAATAAAAAGAGAAATCAACATTTTTCCCATCATAAAATTAAATCCTGACGCGTTAATCGCACTCACCATCTTTGTCAGGTCAACCAGAATGTCTCCATCTTCGGTTAACTGGCGGGCATACTGCTTTCTTTTGAGTAACCCACCTTTGGCTCGGGGGAATCCAGTGAAGGAGAAAAAAAGAAGTGCATTATCATGTTCTTGTGAAGAAGTAGTCTTCATTAAGAACAACGTATATCTTGAAAGCATTTTATTCTTTAAAACTAATTGCTATTGTTAGTGATTTTAGTAATGGTTACGGATACAAGGATTATAGACTCGGCTTTCTTCCTTCAGTTTTAGGTGGTGTAAAATATATTAACCAGATAGATAGATAGATAGATAGATAGATAGATAGATATGAACAGAGTGAGACTGATAAATAAGAACTTACAGAAAAAGATAGATGTAAATACATTCACCTATCGCCCGGTTCACACTCCTACCAGTTGTTTTGAACAGAAGTAGAGGATTTTATTTTATTTTCTGTATAGGATTGTGTTTCTGGTTCCTTCTAAATTCTTTTCGTTCCCTTTTCACATCCAATAGATCTTTGCATTATCGCTTTGCTTGGAGTGAATTGGTTGTCATGACCAAGTAAAAGGTTAAAGAAATAACAAAACAAGTGTTACACATATATCATAAACAGTAAGTACAACAGGAGAGTATTACCCGACGAGTGAGTGTGTGTCGGTTGTCCCAGCGTTCAATCTATTCGACTCGTCTCCCAATGCCTTCTCTCCTACTAATCTTATAGTAGGCGAAAGACTGCAACATAGACTCTTTAGAGGGAGGACACCACAACATTGGTTAAAAAAGTAGATAGATAGATAGATAGATAGATAGATAGATAGATACGAGCAGACTCAGATAAATACAGACATAGATAGATAGATAGATAGATAGATAGATAGATAGATAGATAGATAGATAGATAATATGAGAGAGAGAGAAAGAGGGAGAGGGAAAAATGACTTCGATCCTCACTTTCCACCCTCGATAGAGTTCAAAGGCGTTTACGCAGCCTTATTTTCAGCTCTTCAATTCCATCCCCAGAGATGTATTATCACAAGCCTGTCGATAAATTATCGTTTGTTCCATGGGAAATATTCAGGCGAGCAACATCCCTTAGTTACACTAGTTCTGACGTTCAAAGATAAGATCCACCATATCACGTACTCAGGATTGAGTTATTCTAATTCCCTTCGTATTCAATTCAAAAGAAGGAAGTTCAATATTCTCAAGTGTATGATTTCCCAATCACTACAATCTTAACCTCTTCAATTCTAGGGCCAACCGTTATCTATCCTCCATATCCTCATAATCTGTATTTATTTCATCTTCCTACGTCCATACGTAACTATACAGTCACTATATTGAGTGGTTCGTGGGATTTGTATTGGATAAATATTCAGTGCAAATAGATAGATAGATAGATAGATAGATAGATAGATAGATAGATAGATAGATAGATAGATAGATAGATAGATAGATAGATCTGAACAAGAGATAGACTGACAGGTAGAAAAGAAAGAAAGAAAGAAAGAAAGAAAGAAAGAAAGAAAGAAAGAAAGAAAGATCTGAGCAGGTCGAGATAGAATGACAGGTAGAAAAGATAGAATAATAGAGATAGATAGATAGATAGATAGATAGATAGATAGATAGATAGATAGATACATAGAGAGAGAGAGATTAAGTGAACTGGATAAATCTCAGCAGTAATAGATAGATATCAAGAGAATAGGATAGATATCAACAGTCATATATATATATATATATATATATATGTGTGTGTGTGTGTGTGTGTGTGTGTGTGTGCGTGCGTGTGTGTGCGTGCGTGCGTGCGTGCGTGCGTGCATCGTTATTCTCATTTCATTTTTCAATTCCTAGTAACTTAGATATTTCGAAGTTGAAAATGATTCAAAACTGATTCACATGGAAATATATTACGCCGCCATCTTTTTCCAGTCTCAGCCCCCGGAGGATTGTATTTTTCCTACATTCTCTAATATGGAATGTTGTTCCGAAAAGAGCTGCAAGATCGACAATGTGAACTATTTTGGAATTTACCAGCGAAATAACTAAATCAGAACGCCTGTCCATTAATGAAATTTCAGTTGGGAATGCGAAACAACGTCCTAAATCAACAGCCAGCAGAGATCAAAGCGTCTATATCTTGCACGAATAAAGCGGTTTCTTGGCTTAAATCTAAGAGATTTATTGCTCAGGAGATTAAAACCATCTATAGTTTGTTCTGTTAACTTTTCTGACATTTCAATGCCGGTTCTGTGACGAAGATCATCAGAAAGTGACATTCCAACAATTTGAAAGTATTAAAGGTAAACTTACAACGCAATTTTCTTGATGCTGTCCAAAAATAACCACCAGAAGCAGGCCAGCATTTTAAGTTTCTTTTATGCAGCCATGTATTTGCTTTTTAAGAGAAAAGAGGTAACATTGCATTAACCCTAGAACACTAACCATCGATTAAAGTTACACCACTACTAACCATGGGTATATCATACCCGATTTTGAAAATATCAAAAAAAAATATTGAATATAAATCTTTATTTGAAATATTTTACATGCAGGCACTTCAAACTTTGTACTTTGAGTTAGCATTAATAGGAACTGAAAAACATATTATTTAGGTAAGAAAATCAGGTACTGAAAATTGTAATTAAAAATAGGAAAATTTCCGATGGCTACTATATACCAATGGTTAGTATTCTAGGGTTAAACAAACATGTCATGATCAAATAAATAGGTTGGATAATTGTAAGTTTACCATTAGTCCGTGGATCGAATGTTCCTGCCACATCTGGTCTTCCGCTTTTGTTTTATATCAAGAGATTCTTGACAAAACCCAAAGAAGACACCACTGCAATATTATGGTCCTGGTCTGGCATCAAGGCTTCACTCAATCTCTCACCATCGTAACGTAGCTTCCTATATTTTTATGGTAATTGTTCGGGTGAGCTTTCCTCTTTACTACCTCGACTTCATGAATTCAAGCGCGGTACTAGATTGGCAGCTAGGTCTCGTTATTTTACTGTTTAAATTGTTAAATGTAATCATATGATCTATTCTAACAGTTTCTTCCCGCGTGTTTTTCGATTGTTGGACTCTCTTCCGGTTTCTTGTTTTCCAGTTATCTACAATCGTCATTTTCTGTTTCGATGAATCTTGTTCTTTTATAGTCCTTTCGCCTCAATAACATTTTCTTTCACCTTCGGTAATCCCTTGGATCTTAGGGGCTTTATTGTCTTCGGATGCTATAATTATGCACTGAAGGAAAATGATGAAGATGTAGATAAACCTAAAAGTTAAATTCCATCAATAAGAATTATGAAGCCTAATGAAGTTCTTTAGAAAGACGAATAGAATTTGTTCTCTCTTTTGTTTTCTGTTTTTTTATTCAGTTAGCCATTTTTTTATATATAATTTTTTTTATTCTTAAAAAGAAACCTGAAAGAAGTCAAAATTTATTGAAACAAAACAAGTTCAGTTGACCATTGATGACAATTCCAGAACAACGTAACTATAAACAATTTTTTGAGACACGCTGCAAGAGCTACTCTGTTTCACGAAGCTCCTCCCTTAATCTAGACGCAATCGCGCCAATCCTCCGAAGGAACGCCATCGAAGGAGGTCCAATAACCCCTGCCACAGGAGTAAAAAAAAATCTATCAGCAAGAGAAGAATATTTAACTATTTTTTTCATCTCTGCGTCCCGTACGACGGATCCCGGTTCAACCGCGGACCTGATCAAATTTCCGGCCGAAAATGTATCTGCACAGGTTGCATCCCAAATCAACGACTTCCCCATTTTAAAAGGGAAAATGGTAATGCCATTCGGCCGCTTTCCATCACCACGGTCGAGGCCTACGGGTTCGATTTGGGAAGGGAACCCAGCTGCATCCAAACCTCTTTTGATGATGTCGTTAATGGCTTCATGCCGTGGAAAGCGGCCAGCACTACGACGACAGGAGAGAGGATGCAAACCAAACTCATCGATGGAGGTTCCACATCTGCATCTGTGACGCTCACATAATTTGAGTCCAAGATGGATCCCGACTCGAGTGTACTCATCATCTAGAAGGGTACCGGTAGATGAAGAGGTCACTGCGTTGAGCCAGGCGCCACTACTTGTTTGTGAAGTAGATAGTAGAGAGGCGAGGCGATGCTGATCCAGAGAGAGCCTCAAATTAGTAAAATTGACCTCGCATTTTATAAAAAATTCATATGACAATCCTCCACAAATAAATATCTTATTTGAATGATTAATTTGTTTTAAAGGGAGATTTTGGACGAGAAAACAAGATATTCGAAGTCTTATTTCAAAAATGAAAAGAAAAAAAGCTTGATATTAGTAAAATACAAAACTATTATATTTCTACAAAGGTGAAAATGATTGTCTGAACACCCCAAATATGATGTTTGTTTTGATGTTTGTATCATACAATCTCATAACATTTATCACTTATTATGTCATTATATAATACGAAAGCATCAAGTTTATTATTATATGTTAATCAAATATTCTTGATACCATAGACAGAATATGTTAGCAACGACGAAGTTTTGGAGAAAATGAAAACAAAATGGAAACTTATACTTAACATCACGAAGGGACAGTTGAAATTTCTAGGGCACATAATGAGGAAAGAAGGATTGGAAAATCTGATACTCACAGAACAGATTGAAGGCAAGAGGGACATAGGAAAACAATGCGTAACATACTTAATGAGCTTGAATAAATGGATGGTGAAACAGGGTTTAGGATAAATAATAAAAAAAAAGACAATTTATTAAGAGCTGCAAAGGACAGGAAAAGGTGGAGAACCACGTTCGCCTACGCCCTGAGGATTTATGGCACAAGAAGAAGAAGAAAAAGATATGATTTAGAAATCGCTTTATTCTACGTCGTTCTTTGAAGCAGGATTAATTTATGAAGTCCAATCCCGAACTGTGTGGGTGGCGTCTTCCTAGACAGTACCTCTCCTACGGTGGAGGGGATGGTTAACTCCAGATGCTTGTGGCATATCCCAGAATAAAGTTGCCGACGTGGGGTCTGAACAATGTTTGGCCTTTGGGATTACGTACGCGTGGTATTTTAAATTCAGCCAAGTACTACATTCCATTCACGTGGGCGTGCGGTTAAATGTTGTTGTTAATTATTTGTTTTTTATAATGACATGTCTCTTCACGGCGTAGTATTCCATTGGTGAGATGTAAGTTCCAATCGAGCAGCTCCTTTCCATGAATCGTAGCTTTGTGGAACCGACTCCCAAGAGGATACTTCCCTGATCACTATAATCTTAACCTGTTCAAGTCTAGGATCAACCGTTATCTTTCCCACATATCGCCATAAACTGTGGCTCTTAATCTGTAACCCTCTACCTCAAGTGGCTCTTTGGCCTTATAAAGGGCTAACATCATTGTAAAAAAAAGTCAGTATGAATCTCCGCAGATTCTTTATTTGTCTTATTATGTTTGAATTAACATGCATTCTTTGGAAAGATTTCCTGTTGCCTTTTCAACGGTTTCGAATCCAACGTTTTCTTTTTGTTAGGTTAGTTACCACACAAGGCTAGAGAGCCAGTCTACCCTGTTATTTAATCCATAAGTAGAGGAGAAATACATGGAGTCATGCTTTTCGCATAGGCATTTCTGTTAAAAGTGAACGCTACAAACTAGCGCGGAATTCGAACTCTGCTCTTCGATTCCATTTTTCGCGCCAATATTCGTTACACTAACCACTCATCCGATTGAAGATGTGATAACTGCATTTAGCGTTACAGTTAAATTCTAAATGAGTCATTTATATTTTTAATAATCTTGATAAGTTCTTTTGCTATGTAAATGTATTCTTTGTTAACTCTTTTCAAACGGATCTGCAAATATTTCACAAATTTTTGATTATATCTCCACCTAGCCCAAATAAGGATGACGTCTTTTAATGTTGGGATGAAGTTACCTCCCTTTTGCGTTTTCTGTAAGTGAATAAACTCCCTTTGGAAGTCGCATTTTTTTTCTTTACATAATTTCTCGCCTGAGTATTTTTTTTTTAGGATAGACAGCATTTAGTATAATTTCTGTTATATAAGAATAAAGTATTACATGACGCCATTTTGAAACTGACTATCTATTCGGACATTTGAAAACAAAAGTAAAAAAAATGGTGTAATTAAGTATTCATTGAATAAAGTTATTACATGCCTGAATGAATTTTTCAATCTTTTTTTAAACTAAGGCATTGTCTTCTTATATAAATGAAAAATTAAACGCCTAATTTCACGAAGTCTTTTGAGATATAGGTTGAGGTGACACACACAAATGCATATAAAAGTAATATTTGCGAAATTACTTTAGTTTGGGGAATGACATAACATCCACTGGGAATGCAACTATAATTGCAATTCATATGCAATACGCGCTTTCTGGTCTTTACGCTACAAATGCATGTTGTAGACCTAAATTCGGATGAAGAAAGACGTTTTTGTTCTTTTACAGTAAAGTTCACCCTGTAAATTGCTCGGTAGCCATTCTAGGTAGAGGTACAATTTAAACGAATAGATTGGGAAGATAACGGTTAACGTGAGACTTAAATAGATTAAGATTGTAGTGATCGGGGAACAATCTTCTTGACAGTCAGTTCCACGAAACAGTGTTTTGCGGGAAGAAGCTGCTCGAGTGAAACTTAATTCTACACAAGGGAAGACGGAGGGATCGCCACAATCTGCGCAGCGTGGCGGGTCCTTAACGTGAAGATTACAACTGCTGGAACTAATGGTTGTAGTCCGTCTGAGTAATTTCCACGGCAAAAAGCGATAGAGCAGAGAAAGGCTTGCGACGTTTCGTCTGTGAGAGAGGGGTTGCAGGGTGGAAAATAATAATTCACCCCAAAGGACGCGGATACGCTTTTGAACTCTTTCAAGACTGGAAAGTGAGGACTAGGTAGCTCCTGCCCTAATATGACAACAATACCCCATTTTTAAGCCTAATCTGGATCTTGCAAAAATAGAGTATAGCACAGTTAGTTTCCGGCTGTTACCCCACTAGAGTATAGGCGTGTAGTGCGCGCACGTCGGTTTGGTTTAGTTTTTCTTTTACGGCATATTAACCACAATGGGTTATTCAATGCCGGCAAAATTTTTATTGCTAGTAATTTTTTTTTTTTTATCAAAAATATATCGCTGGTAATATTTTTTTCAAAAATGTATAGCTGATAATATATATATATATATATGTATGAAGAAAAATATATACGAAAATAAAACAAACAAAAATCCTTATATGTAATTATTCTGTTTTAATGTTAATATTTCAAAACAGCATAATTGCATGTAAGGATTTTTGTTTGTTTTTTTTTCCATATATTTTTTCTTCATACTGTCGGATCTATATCCATATATTTGCTTACATATATATATATATATATATATATATATATATATATATATATATATATATATATATATGTGTGTGTGTGTGTGTGTGTGTGTGTGTGTGTGTGCGTGTGTGTGTGTGTGTGTGTATTCAAAAATCTGTTTCTGGTAATAATTTTTTCGAAAATGTGTTTCTGGTAATAATTTTTTCAGAAAACTATTGCTGGCAATATTGTTTTCCTCGTAAATGGATAAATTGTAAATTTTTTTCTTCAAACATTTTTGCTGGAAATAATTTTTACAAAATATTTTTGGTATTAAAAACCTATTTTTACACATTCATAGTGCTTTTACCTCAGTTTTTGGGTTAACTATTTGCCCATAGCTGGGGCCCTAACAGGAGCTACCACCCGGCTCAGGGCGGACCTGGAAACACCAGCAATTAGGAAGTGGTTCCACGCTCTTCAAAACCTCCTGAGCAGAGGTCTTGCTGTTGGACGTAGTTTATCGTCTTATTCAGGACGCGGTTGTAGTTTATCGTCATACCCAGGATGGGCGCGCACGTCGGATTTTCGTTTTCACGAATACTTTTTGAACGCGGCACGTATATATGACTGGACACGTCCAACGGATGAATGACGACCGTATACCAAAAGATATCTTGTACAGCGAGCTGGCCATGGAACAATGTCCAGTAGGCCGCCTTGCAGTGCATTCCAAGGACCAAGGCGGAAACATGAATACCGAGAAAAGTGAAACCAACTGTTAGGGATAAGAAGACAACGAAAGAAGCACAGAGAGTAATGTCAGATCTTCATTACAGCTTCATCTGCCACACCTGCAGAAGAGAGTGTCATGTAAAGATTGGCCTGTTAAGGCACTCCAAATGTTGCTTGCAAAAGAAAAATGTCCAAAGTGGGCGCTGCCATTATCTTGCTAGATAAATCGATGCCTCATACACACACAGACACACACACACACACACACACATATATATAGATATGTGTGTGTGTGTGTGTGTGTGTGTGTGTGTGTGTGTGCGCGCGCGCCTACGGACGATAATGGGTGTCCCCATTCATACAAATACAGTAGTAAATACTGTATGTTGGTCTGCAGTTGGAGATTCGTCTCCAGCTGTGCTGGTCAAACTATCTTTCTCCGGGCAGAGAGGATCCTCAGACGAGGCTACGTCGAAGGTCAGAGTGTCGTCTCGGGAAACAGCTACCCGATCCCGTTTTATACGGCGTCTACTGGGAATTTTCGGCCGAGCCTACGGACTCGGATACCCTACATTAAATTCGGCCTTGCGCCACATCTGACCACGTGGGGCGGTTGGTAGATATTGTGCAGTTGAATATTCATTTTGGAATTCACTTGATTCGCTCCTAGCAATTGACTACTACTTCTACGCGCCGCTGGCGAATCTTATATGTGTTGTTCATATCCTAAGTATTATCGTTCATTACCAACCTTCATTTGATTATTCTATTCAGTAACCTCTCACTAGGTTACAACAGTAAAGGATATTGAGACAGCAATAACTCAGCTAAACAAGTGTTTTTTTTTTTTATATAAATCAACCGACATGTCTCTGGTTAATATTTTTTCCAATTTTGGACTCTTGTATATCTAAATCAAAATTGTGATTAAAATGTCCAAAATTCATGTTTTATTCTGATTTTATTCTACTTTCGACCGTCTCTATCACTATCAAGAAGTAAATGTTGTCAATATGGTTGAAAAGTTTTGTCAGCTACATCCTGCAAGTTTATTTGGAACACTCGCAATAAAATTAGTTCAAGTTTACGCGTATCGTAGATATGACCTCATGTGTTAAAATCTTTCACAGAACTCGACTGCACCGGAAACGGATTTATCAAATATTTACACGTCTTTATTATTATTATTATTATTTTATAGGCATATTAAATACTTGATTGACTGATTCATTTTAAACGGTTTATCAACCTTTCCAGATTTATTTAAAGCCAGAAAATATTTTTACATTGTAAGAATTTTTTTGAGATAATAATAGTTTAGTGATGCGAGTCTTACAAATTAACCCATGTCTGTGAGGAGAAGAGAAGAAATTCATACCTTTCCCAAGGGTATTTACATGTAAAGGTATATAACGAACCCAACAGGAATTGGAACTCAGCTCTCCGATTAACAATTCTGAGCCATTATCCATTACACCACCCGCGCATCCAAGTTTACAACACCTGGTATTCTCAAGCGGTCGCAGATCTAGATACTGATCAGGCTCGACGTTACTTAACTTCGGTGGTCCTACGGTAACCGGTGTTAAAGCGTGATATGGCCGTAAGCCGTATTAAATACAGTAGAGCATTGAGGCATAGAAATGGAGTCACTATGCAGCGTTGATTTCTAAGTCCACACTGTCTATATCTATAAACGCTCCATCTTTTGCCAATAAATGTAGTAAGATTTAAGGAATACATACACACACACAAACACACACACACAAACACACACACTCATATATATATATATATATATATATATATATATATATATGTGTGTGTGTGTGTGTGTTTAGGCAGCAGATTCTCTTTTTAGGCATGTCTGATTTTTATTTTATTTTGCACTAGAGAAAATAAATGACCGTGGAAGAAAATCGAAAATCGAAAGTACTTGCGAAATGAAAATAAAAGAAATTTAAACAGCTACAGCACATTTCTCTCATCCTTTAACATCAATATATGGAAGGCTATTCGTGAGTATGAAAGGATTTTGTTAAAAATTAGCAGACATAATGTCTGTAATTTATTTAATCAAACATATATATATATATATGTGTGTGTGTGTGTGTGTGTATATATGTGTGTGTGTGTGTTTCATTAAAGATGACTGACAATGTATTGCCATTAATTTTTTTATTTAATTCTTCTTGTGTTGGTACAAGTTTTTTTTTTATGGGTACAAACTGTGTAAAAATATCCAAAATCATTTCAAATAATTTCAACTCCTGCCTACGAGCTCTTGAAATTCCTTAATGTTATCATTATTCTAGACATACCTACCAATTATAGCACCATGTCAACTCTCGAATTCCTTCATATTCCAAAAAACTATACAACCAAACCATGGTATTTTAGCGTCACTCGAAGTTGACAGTTTATTTACAAACGTCGATCAAACTATCAACATAATCCCTAATTCCCTGTATAAAAATAATTCTATTCCACCACCATCCATCAAGAAAATATCCTCAAAAAATATTGCATGCCTGCACAACTGAAGCCTCTTTCTATTACAATAATGGCAATATCTACACCCGAACTAATGGCGTTAGTATGAGAAAATCCTCTCGGCCCGTGCTTCTCTAACTACATGTCCCACGTAGAAAACACGATATTTGAACAAGTCACTAATCCTAAAATGTCTGTCGCCTATGTAGACGATATATATTTTTTTTATTTTAGCGAAAAACAAACAAGAAATTGATAATCTCAAAACCATAATTCGAAAAGTCATTCTTAACTTTACCTATGAACTTAGTAGAAAAAAAAAAAACTCCCATTCTTAGACATTTACGTTATACCTAACCAACCTTACCTCAGTTAGGACTCATTTAAATAAACACAAAAACCTACCAAATTCTACCCGAAACATTGTAATAGAAAATGAAAGTATAACAGCCTCATCGACATGTAAAAAAAGAGATTAAAAATAATGGAAGCCCTAATAATAACGGAAACGTCAACACTCAATAACAGTAAACAAGAACACAGCCACAATGTACTGACCGTGTTTGGAAAATAAAACTTTCCTCTAACTCCAGACACATGCATAAAAAACACATGCATTCAGTTATGAATAAAAACCATCCTTGATAATGTCTAAAAGAATAACCGAAAGCGCTTGGATATGCAGAATTTTTGGACAGTTTTTACACACTTTGCGTCCAGAAAAGAAAACACTCGGACGAACAAAAGAAAAATTATATAAAAAAAACTTGTCTTTCCTCTTTAACGAAACATGCATAAGAGAGTAATTGGTGCTGAAATACATTATATATATAGTGATTTTCCAAGCGTCGCTTGGATGTGGCACAAGGCCGAAATTAGGGGCACCCAGTGAAGATCGAACTCACTACTCAGTCGTAATTGCTCCAGCGATATATATATATATATATATATATATATATATATATATATATATATATATCGAGGTAGTGTAATGGTTAGCAAGCTTGGCTGTATTTACACGTAAAAGTATATAAGGAACCCAACCCAATGATATATATATATATATATATATATATATATATATATATATATATATATATTCTAGGTGTACAAATGTATGGGGAGATCGCTCGCTCTCTATTTCTCTTTATCTCTCTCTTTCTTTTATATATATATATATGTGTGTAATTTGCGAGATGAGCGAAAAGCATATAGATTTACTTGTAAAGGCAATATCGTAAACCAGACACGAATCAGCTTAGATATTGAGAGAGTAGGTGAGCGATTAGAAAGCACAAGTCCAAACAATGGTAGTAATAAAAAAAAAAGAAAGATAAAAATAAAGAATTAAAGACCAACCCCACATATACGCAAATATTTCGTTAATAGGGAGATCATTTGGTGGGATTAACGAAGTCATTGTTCGGGACTCGGTCGCATTTAGCTGTTGATCAGGGGCACCAAACGAGGATCAGCCGCTTTGGAGCCATGGTTCACAGTTGTGTTTAACCCAGGTATTTGCGCGTCTGGCAAGATAGACATACAAACCAGCACGGTTGTCTGACGTGTGCTAAGTCGCAGGAAATCCTAAGAAAGAAAGAAAGAAAGAAAGAAAGAAAGAAAGGTAAAGAGAATTAGGGTGTCGGTTAACTAGGGTAGCTGATGGTCGGGTAGTAGTGGGATAACAAGGAGCTAGGTTGTTGCATGTGGGTGTACGGGGATTGAAAGTTTTACTGTGTTTAACATGTGTAAAGTTGACAATCGTGTTTGGTCTTCTGAAATACTATGTCCCTCAGTTAAAACTAATCGTGTTCAAGATATCGACAAGAAAGAAAGACTTCGAGAATTAAAGTAAATGCCTTTTGAATATTGCAGATTTTGTAAGCACAAGAATTCTTTGATTGTTTTCGATATAGCTATGCAGAGCCGCTCTAGAATCTGAATTAGTTAGTTACGCAGATTTTAATGGATTTTTTGTGCTAACTAAAACAGAAACCGAAAATTTAAAATTCTCATAAGGAGAATCTTTTGTGCCTTGTCACTGTTAAATTGGTACCAATACTATTTACAGCTAACTTTACGTAAGAATTTAGACAAAACGCGACACATTAGCTTCTGAGGCACAAACTGTGACTGCTAATCACTTTATTTGTAAAACCATGTCCTCTGATGAAGTAGCCTATCAGATCCCATTTCTTCATTATCTGTGAACAGCTATAACTTCATAGGAATAAACATAGGATAGCTACACTTTGCTATTGCGCAAGGTGTATTATTCGCTACTTTTCTCCGACTCTCCTGTCTTCAATATGCCCTGTGAGTATCAAATTTCCAAGCCCACTTTCCTCTTTATGTGCCCCAAAAATTTCAACAGTGTCTATCTGATGCTAAGTATAAGTGTCCTTTTTGTTTCCATTATCGGTAAAACTTCGTCGTTGCTCACATTTTTGGTCCATGGTATTCTCAGAATCCTTCTGTAGAACCATATTTCTGTAGCCTTAAGTTTCTTCTTCAACTATGAGGAGATTAACCAGCACTCACTGCCATATAGAATGACCGATATAAAACTTTTTTTCTTTTTGTTTCTAACGAAAGTTTCCTGTTTCTTAATACTATGCTTAGCTTTTGGAAGTCATCTTTTGCTATTCCAATGCGCCTTCGGATTTTGGTTTCGTATTTTGCGTCCTCATCTAAAATGCTTCCTAGATATTTAGTTTTTTTTTTGTTTTTTTTTTACTTGCTTGATCTTGATGTCCCCAATTTCTAATTCATATCTTGGGTTGTTTCTTTTGCGGACAAAAAGTAAAATTAATGTTTAGTCCTTTCTTCTCGCTTTCCTTCACTAACTTCTGTGGGAGTTCCTATAATTTAATTTCCGTACCTGTTACCAACACTGCAATATCTGCATATATAATGTTGTTAAGATTGTAGTCATCAATAATGAATTCTATTTGGATTTCTAATTCTCTCAAGATTGTTTCACTGTAAAGATTGAATCAGTCTAGTGAGAAAACATATTCGTGTCTATTATATAATTATACGTTCTTATATTGTATAAGTTCTGGATTATCCTAATCTCTTTTCCAAATAAATTAATCTTACCTAGTACTTTAAACAGTTCATTGTGAGTCTCGTCATCAAATGCTTTTGCATAATCTATAAAACATAGCTATCCATCCTTTTGCATATGCACTGCGATTTCTGCTCCCATTCTCAACATAAATATTGCATTTCTTGTTCCAGTGTCTTTAGCGAAACTGCACTGTTCTTGTTCTTTTTCTGATGTGATTCTGATGCGCTCTTTATTCTTTAGAATTCGGATGATAAGTTTTTTTATGTGGCTCATTAGTCTGATGTTAAATTCAGAGTCTGCACAGTGATTATGAAACATTTCTAGCTTAGTTAAATACTAACATCCAGATTTTATCTATAGTCACTTAATCAATCATTTGTCCCTATTTCTTATTTGTCATCATTAGTAGTAACTATTATGCATATTATGACATTTACTATTAATGATGAAGACCAAGACACAGGCAGGAAAGTACCTAGGAAGCGAAATAAATTCTACTAAAAAAAAGATGCGAAAATCCGCATAGCTAAAGCCTGGGCCACCTTGAATAAAATGGATGTAATCTGGAAATCTGATCTCCCAGACAATCTCAAATGGAGATTTTCTCGCGCCACTGTAGAGGTAGTTTTAACAAATGGTTTCACTGCCGGCACCTTAACTAAAATCATTGATGGGACCTATTTGAGGGCAATACTTAACATCTGTTAGAAAAAAAAACACCTAACTAAATTACAGCTCTATGGACCCATCCCTGATAATATCAATAATCTAACACGAACGCAGAATGCGCTTTGCAAGACACCGCTGTCGAAAAAAGAACTTGCAAGTGATATACTGCTCTGGGCACCTAGTGATGGCGCAAGATGAATTGGTCACCCAGCAATCACCTACATTGGCCAACTATGTTATGACACAGAATACGACCCTAATGAACTTTTGATCTTGATGCAGGACTGTGGTGGTTGGCATGATACTCTTGAATGTCCGACCGAATCGTAACTGGTGGTCTTCTACAACAGACACTGCCACCAGTAATAATCT